TTCAAACAAGATGGAGGATTTTGCCAATAACGCTCAATCCCAGTGGCTATTGACCAACTCTTACCCAAACCTTACAATTAAAAGTAATATTAAAAAATGGGTAATACTGCAATCAGTAATAGTTGATATTAGGGGTGTAACGATATCCAAGTCTCACGATACGATATCATCACGGTATGAATCTCACGGTATGATATTTATTGCGATATCGTGGGAAAGCTCAAGATATGGCTCACGATTAGGGATGTAACAATAGCCAAATCTCTTGGTATGATATTTTCATAATTTACATCTCACGGTTTGATATTTATTTTGATATTTTATGAAGCTAAGAAAAAAAAACTGTTAATATGCTACTTTTTCCTGTTAAAATGCCTTGTTAAGACTAAATCCAAAGAAGACAGACTTAAAAGTAGAACTGTTATTTCTTCTTGTAGTCTACATTGGAGCAAAGGATCATGGTCTATGTAGTTCCCAGTCTTTATTTATCTACTGCTGCACCATAACTCTTAATTTAAGCAAAGAGACTTGTAATTCGATATAATGTGAGGGGCCACGATATTATTGTGAGAACTTTGACGATACGATATCACGATATTTCTGTTACTGTTACATCCCTAGTCAATATAATCACACTTACATGTATGACTAAACAAGTGTAACCATTACCAATCCAGGACTTCACCAACTATAGTCAGTATCAGTTCTGGTAAAATGCCTCTAAAATCAAATAAAAAAACAACCCTTTCAACTGTACAAAAATATCCAATCACTATCTATTCCTAGAAGGAGCCCATGTATGGCCAGCCATAGAGCTCCATTCATGTAAATCAGTCGTGTTACTTGGTACTGTCACGTGATGAACAAATCTTGGATGCCCATTTTTAGCAGCAACAGCAGCAGCAGCCCATGTGAGGCCCATGTGCAAATGTGCTGCAGAGATAAAAACGACAGAACGCTGTAGTTTCTTGGGCTCGGATGGCGTGAGTAATACCCCCGTTATAATTTAGAGCAGGGAATCGCACGCTGACAAAGGCGGCATATGTTGGGTGAGTCAGTTCTGCGCAAAACTAAGGAGAAAAAAAGAGGAAAAATTAGATTGCTAAAGTGAAATGGTAATACTGAAGCAATATCACATCCAAAGAAAATACCTGTTGAATCAGAATTGGACAAGTTTTTCTGATTTGTTTAGTTCCACTTTAGAAGCATTGCTCCAAGTAAAAGTTTTAGTTTAGACTTGCACACACCTTAATGCGTCCTCTGCTGGCATTTTGGAGAGTATGTCTAGAGCTTTTTCCCCAGGTAAAACTTGCTTTACAACAGAAAACATGGCTGACAGGCAGCTAAACAAACTGATTAGTCTAAGGCTGGGATTGCAAGCTGATTTCAAGATCTCAGTTCAAAATTATGAATCTGTATTTAATTTATTCTTAATTAAAACGGTATATTTTAGTGAAACCGGATCAAACAACAATTCAGCAACAACATCTGATTTAACATGTTTCCTCCATCCACCGAAAAGTATTTTGTTTTGCAATGGGGGAGAGGGACGTTGGGGTCTCCATCAATCAGTTACATGGTTATTTGGTGCTCCCGGCCTGAAAAGTCTTAGCTAGCCTCGCGCCACCTAGTGCCTCCTCTCAATTTAATTTCTCTCCAGCGACTACATCAGGAATCAGAATACACTAGACAGTTTGCAAAAACCCCGGAAGTGCGAGTTCAGGCACCAGCCAATCAGCGAAGAGTAATACATTCTGTGTTGGCAACAATTCCCGAGATCAAGGATTTAAAGCTGGATCAAAGAGAATGTTTGGTGAATTTTATCAAGGGGAAAAACATTATTGCCCTTCTTCCTATGGGATTTGGGAAAAGCTTAATATACCAGTTAGCCCAGTTAGCGGCGCATTATATACATCACAACCAAATAGCAGTGATTGGTTAAATAAAGTACCTGCCTACCGTCGAGCGAACGAATCCTAATGCTGCGAGGTCAGACGGTTTCCATGAAGTGAAACCGGCTGATGAATCAGACTAGAAAAGTCTGGTAACATCTGTCAAATCAGTGACCAGTCAGTGGCTTATAAAAGATATGCTGAGTTTGAAAAGCTAGAGTAATTGTTTAGAAAATGAACTGTGTATGAACCATGAATTCGTGTGCAAGTAAAGAATTGTGACTTGGTTCACCTACACTCCCTACCTGATCCTTCTACACAAAGCCCACTGAACTTCTCTTGCCCTGACAGCCTGCATGGCGCTTTAGGAGCCAGTGAGTTGAGTTCTTTCGAAGGTACAGAGCTCCATAGCTGTTGTTGTGTTGTAACATTTATACAATAGATATTATTATTATTATACATTATTGATTGTGACTATGATTGATTGTGATTATACATTTATATAATTTATGTCTTATTGATAACAATTTCTTCCTATTTTTATTGCTACTTACTTAGAAGTTTATTACCCTTTTTTTATATATTTTTTTACTCTGTGTTATTGTAATATAATGTGATGTGTGAGCTACTGCGTCCAAGTAATTTCCCTTGTGGATCAATAAAGTCTGTCTAAGTCCAAGCCTAAGTAGTAAGTAGGAGCTTCGGGATATCAGCTATACTTTGATATACTCTTGATCATCTAAAAATACATTGAGAATTATTAAAGGACCCATATTATGATATTTTTTAAAATATGTTATAATATTACCTACAGCTTCACTAAAATCATTGGGATGATTTCAGCACTGGATCTGCAAATTTCTACTGAACTAAAAGGTAAAAGCCGTTAACTTGAAAACTACAACCACATGACATCATAAGGTGGAACAAAGCATTTTGAGCTTTGGAGATGTAGACAAAGGATTATTCAAACACGTGTGAATGAAACAAAACACAACTCCAGGTATGTTTTTGATGAGGTCACAACATTTTGACATAGCTTACAGCTCACAAGAATTAATTTTGTGTAATAAAGGACTTTAATTAACAAACTATCCAAATCAAGCTGAGCAGTCAACTGGCATTTCTGACTAATCATATGCTCTGAACTGGTCTTATTTGGATCAGAAACAGTTTTTTGTTTGACTTCAACATCAATAAGAAGTTCAGCATGTTCAATAAAGTAGCTATATACCTTATAGTCTAAAAGTTCAGTAGACTATACAGTATTCAATAGATAATGCTAAAATGTATGTGAGATACAAAGAAATCTCTATGCAAGGAAAAAAATGTAGGTATTAGAGTGTCAGTGGTGAAATAGAGATATCTCACTGGCTATTGATACTTTGCAGTGATGTCACACAGGAGGTGTTTTACACAATGTTCATATTAGCAAAATACGAAACTTTTTAAGATCCTCAGAAAACTCAAGAAAAAATGCTAAATAGATTTAAACAACACATTTTCAGGAGCCTGTGATCAATATGAGTACGTATGGTCCTGTTGAGTTTGATTTTCAACAAAAAGGTGAGAGTGACTAACTGAAAAATTGTCGCTGCTATTCTGACATGCCTCTATTTAGACACTGACATCTAATTGTGGGAGTAGAGGCACTTTACTATTTTTTTTAACCATTCTGCTTTTCCGACATGAATAATATTAACGTCATAGCCGCTTATACTTTGCGCTCCCACAAGATGCTTAGGTAAAGCACTCGATGAGAGAATACTTCGGCCACATAGGATACCAGACAATGGAAAAATGTCCTAACTGATAGTTGTGGTAAACAGTCATGCATTTTAAAAAAAAAAAAAAAAAATGTATAGGCTAGCCTTCGGAAAAATATCTAATCTAAAACAGAGGCTGCATGGGCCCTTTGTGCTTCATTCATTTCATCATGGGGAGAAAAAACATTTTACGTGTCGGAAATAGTGATACTAAAAAGTGTCGAAAAAACGGAACGTCTAAATAGAGACATGTCATAATGAAGGGATGTCGGAATAGTTGGCAGACCCCAAACTGTTTGGGGTACAGCTTGTAACTGTATTTTTATGTGTGAGAGACTTGTTTAATAGCACAAGTCTGCTCTTTCTGGTCAGATGCAAGTGCTAAAGTAAAGCTCTGATTAAGTCTAACTTCAGTAACAGATCTTAAGACGTTATGAGGTTTTTTCAGACCAAGAGTTTGTCGTCATACCTGACAGTTTGGACTGCTCACTAGCGCTCTTCCTCAGAGTGATCACATGATGTTACTGTGACGTGTCCAGTCAGCTGATTTATACAGGTTTTGGTGCTGTTTTCCTACCGGTGAAGGCAGTACGACAGCGCCATCTGCAGTCCGACTTCTTCAGGACAGTAACCCCGGTGTGTGAGAGTAAAAAGCCCCCTCGTCCCAGTTCATCATCCCATGAGCATTTTTCCGTATTTCGATTGCCTCTTTAATCCATTGGACTTTTTACATAAAGTATCGAAAGGCCAAATGAACTTCATTGGACTAGATCTTAAGACAGAGCAGTGCCTACAGTTAGCTTCATACCCAGAGGGAATGTTGACGGCATCAGCTGCAAAGTATCAGTTGTGCCAAATATATGCCTTTCCTTAAAACTGTAAAATCTTGCATGTGAAAACACCAAAACATCACACATGGCATCTATAGTATGTTGAGTTTTACATCACAAACTTGATCTCACATTCTTATCCTTCAAAGTTAATGTTGGAAGATCAAAGTTGCTTATGCATGCAAAAAGCAAATTCGAAAACATATGGTAAACAATTCCACGGTAGAAAACGGTGCTTCCCTGTTACCGTACATTTGTTGTAACTATCGCTCCATCTGACAGAGGAAATTAAACCTGGGCTGCGTCGCGCTTTCCCCGAGCTCCCCGTGGCTCTATTGTCAAACGCAGCAATCATGGCAAACACAACAGCGTACGCATACACTGGCATATACAGGTCTACAGTGGCAGGGAGGCAGAGCTGGGTTCATTATTCCAGTGTGCAGTATTGTAGAGGGGAATGTGAGATGAGACCACAGCGCTGATGCATAACCAGCAGCAAATCATGGCACATCAGGTTAGTGGAGCTGAACGCTGGAGCCGCTGGGCTGGCAGACAGACAGAGGATCTGAGCAGGAGGCTGAGAAGAACAGGCTACTATGGAAGAATGATAGGCCGTGTTAACAGGTATAAGGATGTTACAATATTCAGTTTTAGTGATACCATTAGAGTGAGCACTAGGAATATCCCAATTTTAGGATTACTCAAGAAAAATACCAACATGAGAACAGTAAAAATCTTTGTTTTCTTACATTTGCATAGTCTATACTGCCATTCCTTTTGTATGTGACCGCCTTTATGAAACCAGAATTTAATAGTAGAGTAGAAGTTGAAGGTCCTATATTACACAAAATTGATTCTTGTGAGCTTTAAGCCAGGTTAGAATATTGTTTCATCATCAAAAACATACCAGGAACTGTGTCTTGTTTCAGTCACACATGCTTGAGTAAGAATTTATTATTAGTATGTCTACATCTCCAAAGTTCTAAAATGCTCTGTGTGGTAGTTTTCAAGTGAACAGCTACCTTTTACCTTTTGTTCAGTAGAGATTGCGATTCCAGAGCTGAAATCATCCATATGATTCTAGTGAAGGTTTATGGAGTTTAAAAACACACGACATCACAAGGTGGAACAAAGTGTTTTCTGTTTGAGAGAAGAAATCAAACTAAAAATGCAGAATCTGTGTGTTAAACACGTGTGCAATGAAACAAAACACAACTCCAGGTATGTCTGTGATGAGGAAACATTATACCATAGATCAGAAAATAGTGATATGGGCCCTATAATGTCACATGGACAGTGAGAAAAACAACAATTAGTAGTTTACGATATAAACTGAATTGAAAATTACTCAAATTGACAATTGTTTGCAACTTTAAGGGCCCATATTCCACTATTTTCAGATCTGTTATAATGTTGTGTCCTTATAACAAACATACATGTACCCGCAGTAGGGTTTTGTCATTCACACACGTTTAACACACCTTGTATATTTAGGCTTTGTTCTTTTCTCAAACTGAAAACACACTGTCCCACCTTGTGTTTCAGTTTCAATTTCAGTCTTGGAATTGCCAATCTCTACAGAACTACAGGTAAACGGTAGCTGTAACTTGTTTCGCTTCATGACATCACAAGTTGGAACAGACCATTTGAGCTTAGACTAATAATAAAAGGTTTCTCAGACATGTGTGAATGAAACAAAACCCAACTCCAGGTATGTTTTTGAGGAGGTAACTGCATTATAACATGGCTAAATGTTCACAAGAGTCAATTTTGAGTTACTATAGAGCTATTAAATTTAGGTTATGGTTAAGGTACACTTCAATGGACCCATAAATGCGATTGGGATAACCTTAGGATTATTGTGAGCTGAATAACTGCAATATTTGTTTAACCAAATCATTTTGACATGAAAGTTACCTACTTGGCAGCATTGTGAAACTGGTCTATTGTAGTGTAATCAACAATGTGTTTAAAGTTAGAGTGACTATCACAAAATGTAACAAAAGTCAGACAAACTGTGTTTATTTAGTGGGAAATATTGCTTAAAACTCCTACCTCACAGCATCATTCCCAGACCAGGCATATTTTTGTGGAGACTGCGTGTTCTCTCTTCAGGATTCCTCTGAAAGATCTGGTTTCCTTATCCGGTCTCCACTCGTGCACATATAGGGTCCTCTGTAGATCCTGTAAAAAGATTCCAAATGTAAGACTCTCCTGGTTTAAAACGCTGTGGACTTGAGAAACTGAACTGATAACAACAAAGTTAATTTGCAATTAGTAATTAGCATCAATATCTAAATAGATGAGATGGGTGCTGAAGGGACAGGTGGCCACATATTAGCAAGTTGGATTTAGGCAGTGACAACCAGTTGGCTAAATGTAAGTAAGAAGCAATATTTTCTGGCTTATATTGATGTTGACAAGAGAGCTCTTTATTAGTAGACGAGTCATCAGAATAGATTCAGCCAATTAATTCAGCGTCTTGCAAAAATTCAAATATTTCTTCACAGTGAATCTTCAACACATTATCAAAACCCATAAAGTAAAGAGTGTTACCTGCTTATTGACTCCTTGATACCAGCTAAAAATGTATCCTCTTCGTACGTGACTGTTTAAAGCGTTTAACAAACACAAAAGAAGCATCGTTTCCATTTTTGTAACTCTCTTTAGCTCCTCGTGGCTGCAGGGATTTCGGCGTGTGGTAAATCACAGCCTGTGTTGTTGCACCACCTGGAGGCTCCTGGGAGAACTGCAGCCACAACAACAGGTCAGAGCCCCATAACCCGCGTCATAACCTCAAAGTAACGAGCCCAAAGTTAATCACATACTTGTCAAGACCCGAATCATTTTGTGATAAATATTTGGAGAGCAATGAAACGAGTTAAGAGCTGTAAAGAACTATGACAAGGACTTTGCTATAAAAGTGTTAAGACCCTTAAACAAAAACTAATCTATGGCCTATTTCATGTTTCCTTTTTCCACTACTCTGCTGTGTGATTTTCAGTCAGACCAAATTCACCTTTTTTATTTTTTGTATTTCTCAAAATGTATGTAAAAGAAAACATCTTAAGCCTATACTAATTGAACTGAACACTGTTAAATAAACAGAAATACTGTTTTTGCACATTAGTTTGAAGAATTTATTTAATGAAAAGTATTATGCTACACTCAGGTTGAATAAAATACCTGCAATATCTAAACATACAAACAATTCTCAGTGTTTGAGAGCAAACTATAGTTACTGCCTGTAGTGATGGAGGGTTTGCATTTGTAAATTTGTATAACACAAAGTGAGTTATTTATTTATGTGTGTTGTGCATTTGAACTGAGCTGGTGTGACTTTATCAGTGCACCTTCCTTTTGAACTCCTGCTGCATTATTAGCCCTTGTTCATGTCATTAAGTCTACGGCACTGATGGCCATGTGCCTCTTAATCAACACACTGACAAGTGGAAAACGGTAAATCTGAATGGATTGGTAAAATTAGCTGGGGTATTAATAGCCTATCAAGCCTCTGGAAGCAGCAGCTGCCACCAAGGGGAGAATGGGAGGCTTTGCCAAAGAGCTGAACACAGGCTGGCTGCCTCCTCCTCAGGGAGCGCCTGTGGATTGGCAGAGCTGGGTACAGACGAGTTACATTTACTTTTTGGATTATCGAGTTGCATAACACTACTTTTTACATACACTTTACACAAAATAATATTTTTAGTTACTAAATTTAGTCAATAATTTTGTAGCAGCACTATCCATGTCTATTGAGAATTTGAGCTTCTTGCTTTATAGGCAACATTTTGGGGACTAGTTTTTCATCATTCTGAAACCCATGTGCATGTTTCTTATTATATGTACAGAATATTTAAAGTTTGTGTTACTTATATCCAAAGAGTTGTCAGCTAACTCACTACCTCATACGTTGAGTTTTCCAGGAGGTACAGCAGTTTTCCCCATCAAACTACTACTCCATGAATTGCCCCAATGGCATTTAAAGATCGGTCAAACGCAAAGGACAAATTCTTCTTCTGTACCAATAAACTTTTACTTCAGGAAGGATTTGGATGGTTTTCCTCCAATAAACTGGAGTGATATTATACTGAAGACACAATAATACCCGTGTAATATTTCACTCTTCCCACCTCTGGAGATCGGACAGTACTGGGAACCTGTCCACCAGTTTTCCTTGTGACCCCAAAACAGCTACCGTCTCCAGCCAAGATAATAACAACCGACACACATCCCGCTCCCAGCCGCCAACGCTGGTGTTTTGAAGTTACTCGCTGTAGGCAAAGCTCTCCCACTTATCTTTACTCAACAGCTGCCATAACTTTTCTTGTTTTGATGGTTCATTACTATTTATTTGTGTGAGTTAAATATCTAGGAGAAAAACTAGCTTCTAAATGAAAACCGTTAGATAAAAACTGTCAATGGATCAGCCTTGCGATCATTAGTCGACATCAAAGTTGCTGGGAGAATGAAGAGGTTAAGACGCACTGGAGGGCCCCCTTTGAACAGGCATCTCTTATAGACCTACCACATATTAACTTGTATAACCCAATTAGAATAGGCTGGTGATAAACTCTGTCTGGGAATAACATCTTAGTTTGTAGAAGGGTGAGAATATACAAAATAAATAAATGAATTCAAATGCAATAGATAATCAAAGTGACTATTGTTTTGGCCTGTCTGAGCAATCGGGTGAATCTAAAATCAATTACGAGCCCTCAAAGGGGAGTACTTCAAACATCCGCGACTTCATTCCTTTCGTAACAAGCTTCATATTGATCCTGCTTTGGCAAATGAGAACTGACGGAGGTTTACTCACAACAGTCCAATGAGAGCCATGAGTGACAAATAACACTGAGAAACAAAGCTTTTCTAGACTGACAGGATAACGCAGCCTATAGGAAAGGGGTCATCAAACTAAGGCCCGCGGGTCGACTATGAATCCTCAAAAGTTGTCATGGCCTATTTTTTTTTTTATTACTTTTTGGCAAATAACAACACGTCTGCATCTTGTATTTTGTTGATTTTATATGATGATATTAATATGAAGTATTTATATTTATATTTAACTAATTATATGACGTATTTACATTTACAAAGAGTCCTGAAGTGTAGTTAAGGAGCAAAATGGCTCGTGTTAAAGTACGAAAAGTTGACAGAGAGTGCTGAGTTTTCAAAGAACAGTGGACGACTGATTATTGTTTTGTTCATTGTAAGGAGCGTGCAGTTTGTCTGATATGTAAAGAAAGTGTGGAGGTTTTCAAAGAATATAATCTGCATCGTCAGGGGCGATAAGGTGGCCTCCAGAGAAAAAAGTTTGGTGACCCCTGCTGTAGGACAACATGTGTATGAGAAATGAACAATATAGCAAGTTTATCTATTATTGTTTTTCATTTTTAGTCAGCATTTTAGGATTGTGATGTATTTACTTTTTACATTTACAAGTGCTACAGTATGTGAAGAAATCAAAGTTTAAAAGCATTTACATAATAATTGGCAATGCCAGTAGGCTATTTGTGCTAGAATGTTCCACTGTATGGCATTAAACCATCTATCTTCACCACCAGGACAAATACAGGTCGGGTCTGTGGAGAAGTGCCCCTGCTCACAAGAGACATTGTGTCTCCAAGCTACTGATCTTTCACAGTGACATCACGCTGGGGGTGTTCTACATGTATCTCTAAAGGCATAATGTTTATCAGTTACCATGGTGACACAATGAATAATACATCAGCAATCTACCAAAAAAGTGAGTCTGAAAACTTTTATGAGTTTGATGTTCAACAAAGAAAAGATGAAAGTGAGAGTGTTGGCTAATGGAGCTTGTGACTGTAATCTTAGATGTAAGAGACTTGTTTAAAAGCACAAATCATCTCACCTGTCATAATTCCAATCAGATAAACCTCATATTAAATCTAACTTAGTAACAGAGCTTCTTACAGAGTAGTGCTTTCAGTTAGCTTCACACCCCCAGGGAATTAATAACATCAGCAGCAAAGTATCAATTTCTGAGTAATAAAGATGTGGAATTCAATAAGATATAAAAATGTAATTCTACACCCTAATTCCAGACAATCAATGCATTTTCTTTCATATAATATTTCAGTCAGTGCGTTGTGTTTTATTCTATCTGTAAATGCGGTTACCGTATTTTCTAGACTATAAGTCGCTCTGGAGTATAAGTCACACCAGCCAAAAAATGCACAATGAAGAAGAAAAAAAAATATATATATATATATATATATATATATATATATATATATATATATATATATACATATATAACAGTTACTCAGATAATTAAAGCAACAACATAATATAAGTTTACCAAACTCATGATCACATTCCAAATCACTAAATCCATTGAATTCTTCATCCTCGGTGTCACGTCAGCACGACCTCTGGAGATAAACCATAGATCCATGATGTAAACGGAGCACCGCTTCCTCTTCTGTGTAGCTGTTGTCAGACTCAGCATCAGTTCCAGTTAGAATTATTCCAGCCTTTCTGAATCCCGACAGGATGGTTTCGGTTGTCACTGAAGTCCAGGCTTTGTCAGTTCATCCAATGACTTCCAGGAAAGTTGCATGGTGCACTTGCCTGGTTGTGGTGAAGCTGTGTTCTCCATCCCCGCTTTCCGCCAGTCCCTCACAAGTTTCTTGCTCACTTCAAACTTTCTTTCTGCTGCTCGATTACCGTTTTCAGCTGCATATTTCACTATTTGCAGCAAGACAGAGGCTGTTTTCTGCATGAGATATACGCAGTAAAGAGCCATGTGACAGTGGTACAGGAGTAACAGTAGTACTAAATACTGACACACAAGCCTAGAGCCTCTCACGACTGTCAGTCTGAAAATTTTAATATATAAGTGGCACTGAAGCATAAGTCACAGGACCACCCAAACCATGAAAAAAAGTGCGACTTATAGTCTAAAAAATACGGTAAATATGGCTGTAATTTAAAACCATTTTGAAAGTTCAAATCACGAGGTGTGCAGGGCAGTACTGTGTCAGCATGTTAAGACAACTGTCATGTCAGGGGACTTTGGTGCCACCTGTCAAATGATGAAGAGATTGAAATGTCTCTCTCTCTCTCTCCTTCTCTCTCCCTCCTTCTCTCTCCCGCTCTCTCATTCACTCCCTCACCCTCACCCTGCCTCTCTCCCTCCTTTTCTCTGCCCTCTCCCTCTTTCCTTTTCTTTCTCTCTCTCTCTCCCTCTCTCTTATTCACTCTCTCAACCCCACCCTCCATTCCTCCCTTCCTCTCTCTCTCTGTCTCTCTCTTTCTGTCTCTCCCTCTTTCCCCCTCTCTCTCTCTCTCTCTTTCTGTGTCCAGTCCACCCAGCTGTGACTGAATTCATCATTCTGGGCATGCCCTCCATTACACATCACTGGACAACATTTGCAGGAGGGGAAAATATAATAAATGACTTAATTTCAGAGATTTGTGGGTAGGGCCAAATTTGGGTCATGCTACTCATTTTTTATACTTCCACAATATTTTTTTTTCTACTTTGCTCTGAAAATTCTGATCTCCAAGTAGCACGTGTTAAATCTATCAATTTTACTGAAAAAATGTTGAAAAATGTGCAAATAAAAGGGATGAAAGATGACTTTATTTGGGCCAAAAGCCAGTCATGCTACTAGCCAAATACTAGACGGGCTTCAATATAATTCAATCAATCACGG